ATCTTTGTGTGTTGTTTCTTATTGAAATATATTTCTTCCTTTGGTATGGGTTCAGTAAAACTAGAAATTTTTAGAATTCCAATGATATTAGAGAAAAAGAAGGATAATACAACTTATCCTTGTTGTGATGGACTAAGGGAAAATTGTTTCATGCGGACTGAACTGCATTTCTACATATGCGGTCCAGAAAGTGTATAGCATCCATCTTAAAGATGGATGCAAGTAGATGTTCCATCTAAAAACAATGGTAACTAACAGTCCAAATGTTTTTTTACTAGAATTATTATTTTTAATTTTTTGAAATTTATTTATTTAATCATATTCATGATCTCCATGTTAGAAATTACATGTCCTTAAAAATTAAGTCTTAAAAATCCATCTCTAACATAGATATATTAAGAGGCTCGCATATCTATATATGCCGGCTTGGCCGCATAGAAACCGGGTCCTTGTCTTAATCGTTTGGGAATAAAGAGTATTTATAAATGATCATGAACATCTCTTTTTTTTTATGTTTTCCCCCAAAAATTTGAACATTGGATCTTTGTAATGACTATTTACCTATATGTTGATTGGCTATATTCAATTATATACATTTCAAATTTCTTTTTGCGTTGGTGAAATACACTTGGCTTTGCAATTGAGAGAAGGATTGAGCAATACCAGAGGCAATACCGAAACATTAATATTGGTTTCGGCTGCTACTATCGACCGGCGCAACATTGTTCCATATTCAATAGTAGAACCGTTCTCAGAACGGCAATCAAGAGGTTGGAACAAGCCCAGGCCGGAGAATAAGCTTGTCTATTCATTGTATAAGAAAGGCTATTACCCGCACGCACAGTCCATATTCATCTCGATCTGCAACTATAGAAGGATCTTGAATTGGCTGTCCCTCCACCTTCAATTGGGTAGTGCCTTTCCCACTGGGTCTTGATATACATATGAATCTTCAATCGAACAAAGGGATGCCGGTGGCAGTGTCTTAAAATGCGGGATGCGGCCAAAAGCGGTGGAGGGGCCAATGCGACTCGATGCGGCCTGGATGCGGATGCATCGCGACGATGCGGTCAATAAATGTAAAAAAAAATAAAAAAATCTAAAAAAGTAGGTTAATGCATAGAAAAAATGTGGAGGTGATATATGTAATAGTAGGTATTTTAGTTTAATGATTAACTTCAAAATTATTAGCTGTCGGAGATTCTGTATCCAGTTATCCACTATCCCCTGATAGAAACTAGAAACTTAAAACTAGCTTCATAAAACATCTAACAATCAACAACCAAAAGCACAAATTTACATCATAAGCACAAAAGCACAACCATCAACAACCATAAGCACAACCATAAACAACCATAAGCACAAAATAGTGATATAACCAAAAGTCAAGCTCAAGAAGAGTTAATAGTTAGTAACTTAATACAATCATCCATTTTGAGAGTCAAATTTGAAATTTGAAGTCAATTTTTTCAACAAATCCACAAAAGTGGCTGGAAATCCTCGTTTACGGGGTTTAATACCCCCCAAACAGTTTCCCCCATTTTTAGATGGTCAAAAAGACGATTTTGCCCCTCCCTGAGGGGCAAAATCGAAAAAAAAATTGGCGAAAGGGGATGTGGTGTGATGCGGGATGCGGCTACGATGCGGTACATATGCGGTCAGTTCTGATGCAGAGCCCACCGCATGCCGCACGATGCGGCTGCATTTTAAAACCATGGCCGGTGGGTAGCGAAGCTAAGACGGTTCCATCTCCCTTAGGAACTGTAGTAAGGGGGGTCATTCCCGTATTAGCTCGCCTGTTTACAAGGCTGCCCTAGAAGACGATATAGTTAATAGCATATATTCCTTAGCTTAGTAAGGTACCCCTTTCAGTCTGGTTCTCCGGCTTGAGAGGAACTTTGGTGGTGCCTCTGAGCCTGCCGCAAGCCAAGGAAGGGCATTCAAAAGTCCCTGGGTCAGGTCTAGTTGTTATCAGTAGGTGTTGTTTTAGGCCTTTGATCAGCGGGTGTTGTTTTGATCGGTTAATCATGGAATAAGGTACAAACTTTTTTTTTTGGGAGTGAGTCTTCGGGAGTGTTGCTAATTAGTACTAATGTCAGGTCTTCATCAGATATTGGAGGATTTTCCTTAAATATTAAATAGCTTGATCCATAAAACCACAAGCTCTACTGCTCTAGTTGATGGCCTTTACTGTTTTTCATTTGCAGAATGGAAACTCTTAAGAGGCACTTGCCAGCAGGTGGCCCCGATGGACTGTCTGAACTCAGGAAAATTGCTGCAAGATTTGAAGAGAAGATCTTTACTAGTGCTGAGAACCAGGTTCTCCTTTCTCTCCTTGTCAATCTGTAATTTATATTTTCAGTTGTGGATACCTAGTGATTGTTTTCTTGGTTTCCCTTCTTTTTCTTTTTCTTTTTGACTTCGTCTCAAGAAATTTCGTCTCATTTTAAAGTTTCATGTTCCTATTAAATTTGCCATCTTGGAAGTCTATTTGGAATGAAATACGATAATATGACAATGTGAATCTAGAATTGGGTTCACACTGAATTGTATCATACAATCGGGTATGTAAGAAGTGTATATGTCAGTATTGTGGGAGGCAAAGACTACTTATTTGCTCTGGTTAGCAGATAACCATTGAAGTCCTACAAAGTTTTAGTGGGTAAATCACTTTAAATTACATTGTGTGTTGAAGGTTTTTAAATTTGGCTTCTAAACTGTCTTCATATTTTTTTTGATAAATATTTTGTATATTTAGATATTTCTATTACAAATAACATCCTTTTATTTGAGTATTGTGCATACGAACATGCATGCACCAATAATCATGCATGTATACCAACGTATGTACATGTGCTTGCTACATGCATCCTGTATTTGTCATGTGTACACATAATGCCACATAGAAGGTTTTGTTGCCATTCTTGGTTGGTTCCATTCATTTTGTTTATTTTTCCTTTCTCAGTTGTTCAACTTCGGCATGATATTTCTTGAGTGTTAATTTTTAAACAAGAAATTTGTGTATTATGCTGTAGTTATTCATGATAAACTAATTAGATATTTTTGCTTATGATTCTATACTTAATCCTGTATATCGTGATTAGTTAGACGCTTTATACTCATACATGTTGGTCCCTTATGTGAATCTCAATATTCACATTTCTCACCTCTGAATTATTGATTTCCAGGCAGATTATTTGAGGAAAATATCTCTAAAGATGCTCACTATGGAGACAAAATCTGCCTTAGAGAATTCTACGGCATCAAACCCTACTGGAGGAAACCAAAATATGCAAGATCAAGGTGAACATTTGTGAAGTATAGGAAATTGTTTGCTTATATGCAAGAATAGTGTTGTTATATATATATATATATATATATATATATAG